GAAATTCCTGCGTAATAATTTCGTGCTACTCGGGTCATTGCAGGAAATATTTGATACAGTAAAAGAAGCAAAATCAGCGTACTGCTTCGATAAATGAAATTACCCTTTAAATTCTGGCATAATTTTTTTATTTTCGTATATTACTTGATAACGGGTTTTTGGCCACTTTGTATGACAAAACTCGTCACAGAGCAACTCAGTTTTCTCTTAAAGCAATCATTAAAAGCGTTATCAATATCCACGTTAAAAAAATACCTCATATGCAGGCCCATTTTAATGTTTAAAATTACAATAAGTGACACGTTTTCTGGTTGTCGAATTCAAAAAAGGAGATGTTTCCCATAGAAATACAGTCTTTTCTTGCGTGATGTAATCAATTAAGTAAATACTATCGAAATATATTTACCACAGGAATTTTCATCGCTGTTATCGATGCAGTCATAACTCCTATCACATTGTAAGAGACCGCTGATGCAAACGGAATTTCCACAATCGAATTCATCAACAGAACAGGTAAAAGTTTCTAAACAAAGAATATGGGTTCAAAAATTTAAATAGAATTTATGCATTGGAATCATTGGCCATGCGGCAAATAAAACGTTTTTATAACAAAACTGTTACTTTATATCACGGTTCTCAGTTTCCTATACCTGTGGATGGCACAGAAGACGCAACAAAGGAAAATCCTTCTCTTGTTCGATAAGAGGACGAAAACGAAAAGGAAATCCAGATGGCATTTCCATTCGAAAGAAGAACTGGTAGTTGACTCCGACGGTATGTCCATGACAGAAGGGTAGACTGACTGATAACATCTCCATTCCCGATCCTCCAATTGTCGTAGTACTCAGTGGTGAGATTGCCAAACGAAATGAGAATCTTCCTGTCTTCCTCCGTCCTGATGATCCAGTTGATATATACTCCTCTTGGAAAGCTGCCCGGGTAACCTGGCGACCTGACTTCAACGGTTTCGCTGGTCCCGAGAGAGATGTTCATATTTGCTATAAATGTATACGCATACAAGAAAATAGTGTACAGCTTGGTTGTTTAAAACCCTCCTGGTATTCAGTGCGTGCGAATTGATAAGTTAATCAGGTGTCAAGTTTATAATCGGTTTAATAATGAAACAAATCATTCCATTTAAAAGAATTTTTGCATTGTCATCATGATTCGTCTTATGATTTTTTAGAGCAATTCATCTACAGACATTCTGAGATGTGTTCTTTTTAAGATAGCTGGAGTTTCTTGCTTTGTATTTCCTAACCAGTTGTTTAAGTAAACCATTGTGGCACAGATCCTTTCGCCAAAATTCTTTACCAAATAGTATTACGCGTGCCGCAGTGAAAAACTGTTTTAAAACAGCTAAAATGCTTTTGCTAACTCGTTCTCCTGTCATTTTGTAAACATGTTGAGAGTAATGATGAGGCGTTTGTAGTACCAAGGCATCAATATATTTTTCGGGCAGTGCGATATTCAATTTAATGATAGCGTATGGATGTGAACTCTCCGTTGAGCCCGAGACAATTCATTATTCGTGAGGAGCATGATCTATGCGACTGCTCTTGTGTCTACTTTTTAGGGCTCTTACTCCCCTCGGTAAAATATCCCTTATTGAGCCAAAGTGAGAATAATTTTGGTTAAATCTCGAGTTCTAAAGAGTGAAATCAGTAGAATTATTAATTTATTTTGCCTTTATGCTTCTACCATTCATTTAGTAAGAAATAGTGTTGTTTATTGCAGGCCTAAATATCTTTGACGAATCATGAAGGGTTCTGCGTCAACTCAGAAGAGCACGCACATGGTCTTGTCCTCTCTTTTTAGTGCGTCACACTACTAGCAGAACGATAAATCAGTCCATTCTATCAGGCTACCTTTTGCATTGGGGGGGGGTAAGTCGTGTTCAAATTAGGCATGAGGTGACATTGTATTATTTGTAAGACGCGTAGAAGATGTTAGTTGGTGTGACTATTGTATATTTGGTATGTGTTTATAGATTTCGGCGTGCAGCTTTGGTATTGAATGGTCCAAAATGTCCAAAGTTGAATGAACGTGTCGTGTACATTAGTGGTAGGCCTAGGCTATAATTCAGTATGTGTGTTGTGTCTTATGTACTGTACGAGGGCATTGTACTCTTCTTGTACACAAATTAAGTAAGGTGGTGCATAGTATTACTTATTCGTGCGCACAGTACAACTTTACTTTGTGTAGTGTAAGTGGACGCGTTTTGTTGATATTTGTATCTGTTGTCAGAGTAATTGTTTTCACATTCATTCTGTTGTCCACAGCTGACTTACATGTACATGCACCGACCAAACAGCTACATGTACTTGGAATGAGACAATTAGCCAGAGTTATACCAGGCTAAGACTTGTTTTTCTCTATTTTAGCAACAGCTCGTAATGACACGTATTGTGTAGTAGGCTTGATATTTATTCAATCAAATGAATTTCTGGGTAATCTCAAATTATTTTGAATGAAATGTATTTCGTCGACAGGGCTTATTCTATATTATGGATTGGGTCATCCCTCCTCATCACAAATTGAAATAAACCAGCTACGATCAAGAACCACCAATCTGAGTGAGTGTCAACTTATCACACTGTACTACTCTTGACGAGTGTGGACCATAGTTATATCATCCACGGCATCGGCACAATAGAAAACATAGCAAGAATGTGTTCATATAATAAACAGATTATCGACTGTATACTTCAAAACATGCTAGTCTGACATATTTTTGAGCTGGTCCTGCTTCAAATACCATGCCTTTAACCCCAGAAGGACATTTACAACTAACTCCAGACCTCCCAAATGGCCCACATATTCAGTATTTTAACCATAAATAAAATACATAACGGAGTTATCGCTCGCTATAGCGAGCAGAGGCAAACTCCACAGAACCACGAAGCTTGAACGACTGACGTTACATTCTTCCTTAGCCAAGAGTCCTTTGAAATTATCTTTTACAGCATTTCCAAGCTTTGGTTAGATATAGAGTTATACCAGGGTAAGACTTGCTTTTCTCTATTTTAGCAACAGCTGGTAATGACA